CTGACACTCTAAACCACTTAGAGAGGACTGGAAAGCACTGTGAAGCTGTATATAAGTCTGAGGGTTATTGCTATTTGGTGTGCCCTGGAGCCTGGAGAAAAGGGAAGGAGGCCACTGATTTTGATTATCCTGGTCCTTACTTGATATTTCCAAAATGCAGGTAATCCTCAATTTACAACCATAATTGAGCCCAAAGTTTCCATTTCTAAGCAAGAGAGCTGTTAAGTGAGTTTTGCCCCATTTTGCTACCTTCCCTGCCATGATTGTTAAGTGAATCACTGCAGATGTTAAGTTAGTCACACAGTTGTTCAGTGAATCCAGCTTCTCTCTCTTGACTTTGCTTGTCAGAAGGTCACAAAAGGGGAATCATATGACCCCGGGACACTGCAACCGTCATAAATATGAGCCAATTGCCAAATGACTGAATTTTGATCACATGACCATGTGGAGACTGCAATGGTCGTAGGTATGAAAAGTGGTCATAAGTCCCTTTTTCCAGTGCTGTTGTAACTTCGAATTGTCACTAAACAAATGGTTGCAACTTCAAATGCTTGCTAAATGAACCTTCCTTGCCACCGTTGTTAAGTGAATCGCTACAGCTGTTAAGTTAATAACATAGTTGTTAAGCGCATCCGACTTCCCCATTGACTTTGCTCATCAGGTGGTCACAAAAGGGGATCACATGACCCCGGGACCCTGCAACCATCATAAATACATGCCAAGCCTCTGAATATAGATCATTGGTCCGTAGGGATGCTGCAAAGGTCATAAGTGTGAAAAACTGTCCTCAGTCACTTTTTTCACTGTCATAACTTTGGTCACACAACGAATGATTGTAAGTAGAGGACTATATCTAATTGGGGAAGCGAAGGGAAGGTAGACGTTTTTGCTTGATAAATTACCTGTCTCATAAATTGCACACATGTAAGAATTGTGTGTCTTGGTTTCTTCGTACAGATGCTGCAGTTGTGTAAACGGGAAGCGGGGTGCAAAAGACCCCTTGGAAAGCCCACCGTTTGTTCTTTCGGTCCTTCTCCTGTGGAATTTTGGCCTCTTAATTGTGGATCGTATCCATCACTCAGGGTTTTTTTTGCTGAAGATCCTGATCCATTAACCAAATATGAGTGTGGGGGTGGAAAAAAATAACTTCTGTGTACGTTTAGATCTACAGAATCTGTTAAGGCTTTGAGTTTTAGAGCTAGCCGGAATCATATTTAAATTGGAAAACGATGGCTTGGAGGAATTTTTCTAAAGCAGATGGACTTCCTTATATCAATCTCAGATATTCACTTCCAGTACAACGGTTTCTTGTTTGGATTGCTGCTGCTTTCCATTGCTCGATTATTCCAGGTAGTGTATAGCTCATCTTTTCCTTCCCTCTCTGTCTCTCTGCACGCACAAACACCTTGATTTCTTCCTCTTCCTATTTTCCCCACACTGTAAGCTGGGTTGGGTAGAGAGGGCAGGGGAGCCTGGTCCAAAATCACCCAGCTGGGTTTCATTCCTAAAATAGGACTAGAATTTACCCAATGCTTAAGGTGGGACTAGAACTCACTGTCTCCTGGTGATTGTTCCAAATTCCTCCAGCCAGCTTTCATCCCTAAAATAGGACTAGAATTTACTATCTCCTGGTGATTGGCCCAATGTCACCCAGCTGGCTTTCATGCCTAAAGTGGGAGGAGAAGTCACCATATCCTGGTTATTGGCCCAAAGTGCTCCAGACAGCTTTCATTCCTAAGAGAGGACTAGAACTCACCATCTCCTGGTGATTGGCCCAAAGTCATCCAGTTGGCTTTCATGCCTAAGCAGGACTAGAACTCACAATCTCCTGGTGATTGATCCAAAGTCATCCAATTGGCTTTCATGCCTAAGGTGGCATTAGAACTCACAGTATTTCTACTAGAACAGTGTTTCTCAACCTTGGCAACTTGAAGACGTCTGGACTTCAACTCCCAGAATTCCCCAGCCAGCATTCGCTGGCTGGGGAATTCTGGGAGTTGAAGCCAGACGTCTTCAAGTTGCCAAGGTTGAGAAACACTGTACTAGAATGAACAAAGGAGGATAATTCTGAATCTTGAAAAGCTCCTGTCTTGTTTTGTTAAACTACAGAAAGTCCCAAATTCCTCATCTAACTCTTGGCCATCATGCTTTGATAAAGACAACGGATGTTGGTTTGTTTTAACTCTTTGCTCTTCTCTTCCCCATCATCATTTTTCCCCCCAGAAAAGATACTCAGAGGGAGCATTTCTCTTCGCTGTCCTCCTGCATTTCAAACACATCTTTCTCTATGTAGCCCCAGCCTATGGCGTCTACCTACTCCGATCTTACTGCTTCGCCCAAAATAATCCAGGTATGTTGCTGACAATTTCACACAGGGAGTCCTTGATTTACAACCCTTCGCTTAGTGATCGTTTGAAGTTAACGGCGTTGAAAAAGGTGGCTCGTGATCCTTTTTCACATTTACGACCGTTGCAGCATCCCAGTGATCGCGTGATTTCCATTTGGGCGCTTGACAGCTGACTCACTTTTATGACGTTACTAATTTAAGAACTGCAGCGATTCACTTAGTAACTGTGGCAAGGAAGGTCGTAAAATGGGGCAAGACTCGCTTCACAACTACCTTGCTTAGCAGCACAAATTTTGGGTCTCAGTTGTGGACATAAGTCAAGGACTACCTGTATTCTAGAATACAAGGTCTCGTTAGAAAGGCAGTCTGATTTGTCACTCTCAGGTTTGAAATGTTATCATCATCATTCTAGCTCTCATTGTGTCTAGATGGATCACTTCGGTGGCGCAGTTTCAGTTTTCTACGCGTGATCGTGCTTGGATTAATTGTCTGCCTCGTTTCTGCCGTTTCCTTGGGACCGTTTTTGGTTTGGGTAAGAAACCCCTCTGTTTTTCTGAAATATATTTTTAATGACCTTAGAATGGTCACTAAGTGAACTGTTGTAAGCTGAGGACTGCCTGTAATCTGCTTTGGATCCCAGGCTGGGATCAATGTATTTTTGTCCGTGTTGCTTGTGTGGTTTTATGTTGGTAATTGTATTTACTGCTTTTGGCGGTAAATGCTGCCCTGCGTCTGTTGGAATTGGGCAGAAATAGTAAATTTGAATAAATAAACAAAAATGAACTAAAGTTTATGAAACCAACTCAAGCAAAGTAGCAATATTCCAAGTACGACAGGGTTTAAAATGTTAATAAGTTTGGTTGTTTCTTGGTCTAAATACTGTATTTTTTGGAGTATAAGACGCACCAAGGTTTTGAAGAGGCAATTTTTTTAAAAAAAGTAGGTAGGTAGATAGAGGGATAGAGAGGGAGAGAAAGGGAGAGAAATACAGTAGGTAGGTAGGGAGAGAGAGTAGTTGGGTAGGTAGATAAAGGGAAAGAGAGAGAGAGAGAAATAGAGAGAGAAATACAGTAGGTAGAAGGAGAGAAAGAATGTAGGTAGATAGGAAGAGGGATAGAGAGAGAAATAGAAAGAGATAGAGAAATACAGTAGATAGGTAGGAAGAGAGAGAGTAGGTAGGTTGTTAGGTAGAGGGGGGAGAAACAAATACAGTAGATAAGTAGGGAGAGAGTAAGTACGTAGGTAGATAGAGGGGGAGAGAAATACAGTAGTTGGTAGGTAGAGGGATAGAGAGAAATAGAGAGAGAAATACAGTTGGTAGTAGGGGTGAGAGAGAGTAGGTGCAAAAACCTTTTTGCACTCTGCAAACCTCCCCAAAACAGCCCGTTTTTCGCGAAAACGGACCCGTTTTTTTTTCCGAATAAAAGGCATGAATAGCCTGGGCGGGGGGCTTGCAGAGTGCTCATGGGGAGATGGGGGGAAACTAGCAAAAACAGGCCCATTTATTTTGAAAAAAATTGCATGCATAGCCTTATAGAGTGCTGCTGGGGGGGGTTCAAAAAATGGCCAATTGTTTGCTTATTTCTGCCCTTCTCCAGCTCCCAGGAGCTCTCTGAAAGCCTCCATAAGAGTATGCACAGCCATTTTGGTGAAGGGGGGGGGGTTTCGGGAGGCAAAAAAATGTTGTATTCAGTGTATAAGGTGCACCCAGATTTTCAGCCTCTTTTTTGAGGAAAAAAAGGTGCATCTTATACTCTGGGAAGAAGGTGTGGAGGTCGGCTGGTTGGGGGATTGTAGGAGTTGAAGTCCTTAAATGTACCACATTTTTTAAAAAAATCCAATTTAATTGGAATGAGGAGAAGATTAATATGACTTTTCTCCCATTTAGGGTCAGCTTCCTCAACTTTTCTCTCGCCTCTTCCCTTTCAAACGGGGCCTCTGCCATGCCTACTGGGCCCCAAACGTTTGGGCGGTGTATAACTCCCTTGACAAAATATTGTCAATCCTTGGTAGGTATCTTAATCATTTTGTTTCTCTGACTGGCTGTCCTTCCATCCAGCCATTTTATTCCATATGGACACCGCCACCTGACTCCAGCCACCCTACCTAGCGCACCACATTAGCCCGTCCCAATCGTTCAGCCAGGGAAGGCATCTTGCGAGCCCCGTCAGTCAAAAGAATTCCAATTGGCAAGATCTGGGATTTGGTTTCAGCAAAACCCCACTTCCTTCTGGCACTGATGACATTACCTAGTTTGGTAGCGAAACGTCTGCAAGATAACCACCAAGCTCAGAGAGCACCAAGGACTCCACAGCCGTCCTCCTTACCCCACTCCACCCTATCATCATCATCATCTTTTAATGAATCCATAATCCCTTGCAGGGTGGAATCTGGGCAACTAAATGGAGCTAAGTATTTACTGGCTGGATGCCCTTCCAGTCGCCAATGCAGAGTTTTGTTCAACAGATACATTTTTTCAGATGTCTTTTTGGTAGGAACCCGTTTTGATCTGGATGGATAATTTCATTTAATGTCCCCCCCCCTTTCTGCAATTATGGCAGCAAATGTTTTATTATCGGCATTTAATAATGAGATAGGCCTATAATTCTTAATCTGCTGGTGGTCTGTGTCTTCTTTCGGCATTAATATAATATAAGCCTCTGTCCATGATTTCAGTAGTTTATCTTCTGCTAGTGCTTTGTTGTATAATTCCAGCGTTAATGTCTCAAATGGTCCTTGTATATTTTTATATAATACTGCGGGGAGTTCATCAGGTCCCAATGTTTTTTGTTGTTGTTCTTGTTGTTGTTGTTGTTTTACTGCCTCCATTATTTCCATCATGGCTATTTTATCATTTAACATCTTTCTTTTTGTGACCGGTATTGTACTTAGACCCCCCCCCTCTCCATTCAATATTGTTTAATACTCTCTTCTGATATATCTTCTTGACTATACAGGTCCTTAAAAAAATTGAATTGTATTGTTTTTATCTTCTATCCAGTAGTATAGGTTCCAGATACATTTTCTATTATTATAAAGTTTTTTATTTTTTTTTCATTTTCATAACATAATCGCATGTACCGTATACTATTAAATAGCCAACAATATATTGTATTATTAAATGTTTACATCGATTCCTCTTACCATCAACTCCCAAAAACAATTATTGGCTCTTCTGCTCTCCATACACCATATTTGTACCTTATCCATCACTTTCTTTTCCATTTCTCCTCCCCCTTCCTACCTCCTTTCTTCCCTCGGTCATCCTTCCTTTCTCTACTTCCCCTTCCTCTCTCCTTCTCCTCTCCCCCCTTCCCACTCCTCATTTCTCTCCTCCTCTCCCCCCCCCTTGCCCTCTCTCCTATCTCTCTCTTCCTCTCTCTCCTCTACTTCCCGCTCTTCATCTCATTTACTTGGTGTATTTCAGCTTCTGAGCGAGCTCCATTTTATGTTCATGGTATTTATAATTCCTTTTCAATATACATATTTAATTTTAACTTGTATTCTCCTTTTTAAAAAAAATAGAAAAAAGTATACTTACATAGTCATTGTGCTTTTAACCCACCCACCTCCGATACATTTTCATTGCGCCCAGAGAGAAAAATAACTGGCTCTACCTAGGATCAAACTCCCAGCCTCCTGATTGTGAGAACTCCACCTCTAGGCCACCGCAACACACACACACACACACACACACCTACCTACCTTCTACCACTGAATATGTTACCCAGTTGAGCAATTAAATGTTTGCAAGAAAATCAGCAAGCTCAGAGATGACCAAAGTCCCCTTAAATCTATTTCAGATTGTTTGAGTGCGCGCCTGAGCTGACTAACAAATTTCCTCTTGATTTCCCAGGGCTAAAGTATCAATTGCTTGACCCTGCAAAAATACCTAAGGCGGCCATGACTGGAGGGCTGGTTCAGGAATTTCAGCACAGCGTCCTTCCTTCTGTGACCCCACTAGCAACCTTATGCTGCACCGCCATCTCAATGGTGGTAAGTATAAACTATTCTCCCACCTGCGAATTTTGCTGTATTTTTATTTCCTGTGGCCAAATCTGTTGAATTTCAGTCTCTGCCGGTCAACGGTGGTAAAGGGACGCGGTAGCTCAGTGGCTAAGACACTGAACTTGTTGATCAGAAAGGTTGGCGGTTCGAATCCCTAACCCCGCCTAACGGAGTGAGCTCCCGTTACTTGTCCCAGCTTCTGCCAACCTAGCAGTTCGAAAGCAGGTAAAAAATGCAAGTAGAAAAATAGGGATCACCTTTGGTGGGAAGGGAACAGCGTTCTGTGCCCCTTCGGCATTTAGTCATGCCGGCCACATGACCACAGAGACGTCTTCGGACAGCGCTGGCTCTTCGGCTTTGAAACGGGGATGAGCACTGCCCCCTAGAGTCAGGAACGACCAGCACATATGTGCGAGGGGAACCTTTACCTTTTTAACCGGTCCACAATTCCCTTTAAAATAGCTCATTCTGCTCTTATTTGACGAACTCTGTCACGCAGCAATTCTCTTATTAGGCAAGAAGTAGAGTAACGAAAAATTTTAAACATTCTAAATATTACAGTGCCTGATTCTTACAGAAAGGACAGAAACTAGGAAGCTGTACAATTAATCTTCAACTTACAGCAGTTTGTTTAGTGACATTGAAAGTTACAATGTCACTGCAAAAAGTGACTTATGACCATTTTTCATACTTGGGCCCGTTGTAACATCCCCATGATCACATATTCAAAATTTTAATTCTTGGCAACTGACTCATATTTATGACGGTTGCAGTGCTCCGGGGTCACCTGCTCACCTTTTGCAACCTTCTGACAAGCAAAATCAATGGGGGAGCCACCTAATAACCATGTTATTAACCTAACACCCGCAGTGATTCGCTTAACAACTGTGGCAAGAAATTTTGTAAAACGGGGCAAAGCTCACTTGACAAATTTCTCACTTAGCAACATCAATTCTGGGCTCAGTTGCGGTTGTAAGTCGCAGGACTGCCTGTAACTTATTCAGGTCCTATTTTCAGTGTCTGTGGAAAGTAGTTTTTGACTATTTTCTGTAATAGTCTGTGGAAGTGACCACAGGAGACTGGATGAGGAGATGCTGTCTAGAGCAGGAGTCTCCAACCTTGGCAACTTTAAGACTTGTGGACTTCAACTCCCAGAATTCCTCAGCCAGCCATGCAACTTTAAGACTTGTGAACTTCAACTCCCAGAATTCCTCAGCCAGCCATGCAACTTTAAGACTCGTGGATTTCAACTCCCAGCTTTGTTGGCTGAGGAACTCTGGGAGTTGAAGTCCACAAGTCTTAAAGTTGCCAAGGTTGGTGGCCCCTGTTCTAGGAAACCCTCAGATAAGAAGCAGCATAGCCCACAGCTGTACAGTGGACAGAGCATTTTTTCCATGAACGGGGGGGGGGGGGGGGGGGAGAGAATGTGCAAGCTAGATCCCATGCATGCGTGTTAGATCCCTTACATGTGCAGTTTATACTTGCGTTCTATGAGAATCTAATGCCTGGTGATCTGAGGGGAAGCTGAAGCGTTGATGCTAGCACTGGGGAGCGGCTGCAAATATAGATGGAAGTTTCGCTCGCTTGTTTACCCGCGGCTCATCTCTGTTTTTTTCGGCCCGGTTCCTAACAGATCACGGCCCCGGAGGGGGTGGGGTATTGGGGATCCCTGGGCTAAAGCCATCCCAAGTTTGAAGGCACTTTCTCTAGTTCAGGAGTGGCCAAAGAGTGGCCTCCATTGATTTGATGACCTGCTTGATGGGGGAAGACCCACTGAAGCTCTGTTTCTGCCTGTTGTTTCTAGCCTTCTGTTTTCTGTCTTTGGTTTAAACCCCAAGGGCCCAGAGGATTCCTCAGGTGCTTGGTTCTCTGTGCGCTAAGCTCCTTCCTGTTCGGTTGGCACGTCCACGAGAAAGCCATTCTCCTCGCCATCCTTCCTTTAAGGTAAGAGAGCGGTCAGTGCTGACCAAGGGGAAACATTGTGAGAGGGGAGAAAAGGAGCTATTGAAACCCTAGGGCCAGGCTACTTAGGGAACCGACTTCTCCCCATCAGCCCGTCCCACTCGTTCAGGCAGGGAAGAATTTCGACTGGCAGGGTCTGGGAAGATGTTGCCCCTGCATTGTGCAACATCTTGCCCTCAAAGGTGAGGAAATCCCCAAATCTATAATTTTATCAGTGATTTAAAATGTTTAATGCTAAACTAATCTGATTTAAATGTTTATTAATTATATGGCACACCTGCCAGAGGCCCACTCGGATGGAGGGAGGCAAGCAGTTGAGAAATATGACATGGGAGGGAAGGGAAACAAGGGCAGAGGGAGGAGGAAAGGAAGGGGATGGGGGAGAAAGGAAGGGAGAGGAAGGAAGGAAAAAAGAAAGGGAGAGAGAAAGGAAGGAAGGAAAAAAATTAACGAAGGGTGAGAAAGGAAGGAAAGAAAAAAAATGAAGGGAGAGGAAGGAAATGAAAGAAGGAAGGGGAAGGGAGAGAAGAAGGAAAGAAAGGAGGGAAGGAAGGAAAAAGAAAGAGAGAAAGATTGGTCTGTTCCTAAATATCAACCATAAAGTGAATACAACAGAAGCCTGGAGTTGGGAATTCTTTCCTAAGAATCCAGGCCTCCCTCTGGGCACAGCTTTATTTTCACTGACTGAGGAACCAGGACAGATCAAACAGTCCCCAGATTGGACAGAACTGCAAAGCAGCTGGTGAAGAAAATGAAGCTGGAGTTTTTTCCAGCAACACAACCATCCAATACAGGCCTCCAAATCAGTCAAAAAGTACAGGTAGTCCTCGGCTTAATGACCACAATTGAGCCCAACGTTTCCAGTGCTGAGGGAGATCGTTGTTCAGTGAGTTTTGCCCCACTTTGCGGACTTTCCTGCCACAGTTGTTAAGCGAATCGGGGTTCCCCGTTGACTTTGCCCATCAAAAGGTCGCAAAAGGGGATCACCAAATGGCGATCAAAATTCGGATACTTGGCAACCGCAGTGTCCCCCGGGGGTCACGGGATTCCCCTTTTGACAAGCAAAGTCAGTGGAGAAGCCAGATTCACACAACGACCGTGTGACTAATTAACAACCACAATGATTGGCTCAACAATGGTGGCAAGAAAGTCGTAAAGGGGTGAAATTTACTTGACACCTGTCTCGCTCAGCAACAAAATTTTTGAGCTCAGTTAAGGTAACAGGATCACCTGTTATTGTGGTGTCTCTTAATGAGCATGGCAGCTTTAAGAGAGGGCTGAGAAAAGCAAAATCCACACTTGAAATATTCCCATTTTTCTTTTTAATTATTTTGCTCTCAGCTTGCTGTCCGTGGAGAGGTCAAGAGATGCTGGTATTTACCTAATACTGTCCACTACAGGACATTTTTCCCTCTTCCCACTGCTGTTTACCACCCCAGGTACATATTTCATTTCTTGTGATTTGCGGTCGGGGAAGGGTGGTGGTGAATCGCTTTAATTCAAATAGTCCTCAACTTACAACCGTAATGGGCACCAGGATTTCCATTGACAGTAGCTGCAGTCTTAAGTCGAATCACCACGTGACTGGACCCAATTTTATGATCATTGTTCAAGGAGTCGCAAGTCATTGCTGCTGTTCGGCAAATACAGTTGCTCCCACACCAGTGGGAAAAAGTCACCAAATGTAGTCATGAGCATACAAGATAATGGCAACCAGTTGTAAATGCGAGCCAGTTGCCAAGCACTTGAATCACAATTGTGTTACTTTTGGGGGAGGGGAAGGCAGTGCAACAGTTTGCAAGAGTCATAAGGTTTTTTGCTGAGACGGTCGTAACTTCAGACCATCAATAAATACTTGCCATTCAAGGCAAAATACCTGGAAGAAGATAGCTGGACTAAGCTGAGTAAAGTAATAGTTAATTTATATTTATTGTTGGTTGGTACATCTCTTGCTTTATTTGGTCCAAGTCCATGTGCCCTACATAATGTTCCCACCTCTTGTTTCCTACACACACACACATACACAACAACAACAACAACCTGGTGAATTGGATTGGACTGAGGGAGGGACTGAGTGAAAGCTGGCCTTTGTGCCTAAGGCAAGCCTAGAACTCACCATCTCCTGGTTTAACTGAATAGCAGAGTTGGAAGGGACCTTTGGAGGTCTTCTAGTCCAACCCCCTGCTCAAGCTGGAAACCCTGTACCACTTCGGACAAATTTATCCAATATCTTCTTAAAAATCACCAGTGTTCGAGCATTTACACCTTCTGGAGGCAACTTCTGTTCCACTGTTTTACTTGTTCTTGTCAGAAAATTTCTCCTTAGTTCTAAGTTGCTTCTCTCCTTCATTAGTTTCCATCCATTGCTTCTTGTCCTGCCTTCACGTGCTTTGGAGAATACCTTGACCCTCTCTTCTTTGGGGCAGCCCCTCAAATATAAGACTTCTAGCATGTTATCTCGTCCTTCTCATTAAACTAGACGTACCCAGTTCCTGCAACCGTTCCTAATATGTTTCATCCTCCGGTCCTCTTTGTTGCTCCTCTCTGCACTCTTTCCAGAGTCTCCACATCTTTTCTACATCGTGGCGACCAAAACTGAATGCAGGATTCCAAGTCTGGCCTTACCAAGGCTTTGTAAAGTGGTATTAACCCTTCGCATGATCTTGATCTTGATTCTATCCCTCTGTCTATGCAACCTAGGCAGTCTAGCACTTTATCTCCTCACCAGACTGGATCCAGATTTGCCCTACTATTAATGGTTTCATAGCACTTGGAGATTGCGTCTGTATTTCCAGGTTGGGAGAAGATGAGTAACCAGCCTAAAGAAAATCCCACAGCATGGATTTAAGCACAGCCTCTACCATTTTGTCTAGGCCAGTGGTCTGCAACCTTTCAAACACTCAAAAGAGCCATTTGGATCCCATTTCCCACAGAAAAGAGCCCCGCAGGTTGCCCACACCCAGTCTAGGCCATACATGCCAATCCATGACCAACCTGTCTTGTCCCAGTGTATGCTGGGCCCAGTTCGGCATGATGCAAGATACATGAACAGGAATGCTTTTTCCCTGGAATATATCCTGTCATGGAATTTACTGCTTACAAAATCCTTATTGTTTTGCCTTTCAGAGCTGCCCATTAAAATATTGCTGATGCTCCTCTTTTCGGTATACAGCTTCTCCTCCCTGAAGGCCCTTTTCAGGTAAGAAGGAAGCAATTTTACAAATAAAGAGGAAAAAGTTGCCCCCTTGCCAAGCGGTTCGATTTTTGTCACACTGTCCCGTCTTAGGGTGGTTAAGCTAACAATAAAGAAGATGATTTGTTAGCTCAGGGTTGAAGTGAGGTTCCTTGATAATCTCTGGTTGTTGTTTTTTTTATAGATGTTTCATCACCCAACTAGGTAACACCATTAGTGCTAGAAGGGAGTGGGATTTAGGAGGAGGAGGACTATGGGGTCTTTGGTGCTGTCTTGAGGTTGCTTGTTTTCTTGCAGTTATTTAATCACCCAGTATTGTGGCCTGGCAGCAGATTCGGACAGTGAGGAGGTTGGGGAGGAACATGGGCCAGTCCTGGAGTCTGGGGAAGGCTCTGATGGGGGCTCTGTGTTGGAGGCAGAGAGGGGGCCAGAGCCGCATGCCAGTTATCAGCTGCCTTCGGAGTCAGAAACCCGGAAGCTCGGGTCCCAGTGTGCGCATGCGCTGCTCTTCTGGGGTTTGGCCCTCCCACACGGGTGAAGACGACCAGCTAGCTGGCACGCCCGCATGCACACAAATGTGGGAGGAGCCAGTGAGGCCACGCGTCCCAGGTGAAGTGGCTCTGCGTGCCACTTCCCCATAGGTTCGCCAAGAGGACCCTAGGCCTTCGGCCTCCTTTCACACACACACACACACAACCAGGTTACCATGGGAACCCAGATTGTTCCAGTTGGAGGAGTCCATTTAACTTCGAACAGTTGCTAAGCGACCAGTCGTAAGTCAAGGACTACCTTTTATGATAAGACTATGAATAAATGGTCTTATTCTCTTCCCCCCAGAGATTATGTGATTATTCTCCGTTATTAGTTTCATTGTTTTACATATGAGGTTTTTATATTCCTGTAAGTCGCCTTGTGCCGAACAGGCGGCCGTGTAAATTCCCTAAAACAAATAAAATACAATAAAATCTTATTTAAAAAACGCTTCCCTCTTGTCCTGTCTCCATAGGAACGAGCCTCTGCTTCACTGGCTGGAAGCCGTCTACCTCATTGGGTTGATACCCATCGGAATTGTCTGTGAAATTGTGTTCCCTTTTACTTCCTGGGCTCAGACACTTCCTTTCCTACCTCTGTTGCTCACCTCTTTGTATTGTGCTTCCGGCGTCATCTATGCCTGGCTCAAGCTGTACATCTCGGCCTTCACCGGACCATCGGAAGGCAAACCAAAGAAAGAAGAGTGATGTATATATCATGGGTTCCAAGCCGGCAAGGATCATTCCAGAAAGCTCACCACCCAACAACAGGTGCCAACATTGGACGTCCTGTCCAATGCCAGAAATGGAACTTTAAAACACATTCTTTAAAGACTTGGGGACTTGAAACAAATCAGAAAGTAATCAGGTGTTTAAACCAGTGCCATCTGAATGCAATGTATTGCTTATTTACATAATTGGTGTAGCAAGAAAAAAAATCAGTGTTTTTTGCTTATTTTTCTTTTGAATTATTCTGTCTCCCAACGGCCACAGGGATGTGCTGATACAAATAACAGAGGGGAACGAACAATTACTTTCTCCCGAATATTAGGACTTGGGTTGAAGGCAATAAGGGGTTAAAGTTTAAATAGGCACACTCAATAACAGATGTGTAATTAATATNCCGCTTCATAGGGCTTTCAGCCCTCTCTAAGCGGTTTACAGAGTCAGCATATTGCCCCCAACAACAATCCGGGTCCTCATTTTACCCACCTCGGTAGGATGGAAGGCTGAGTCAACCCTGATCCGGTGAGATTTGAACAGCCAAACTGCAGAACTGCAGTCAGCTGAAGTAGCCTGCAGTGCTGCATTTAACCACTGCGCCACCTCGGCTTAAAAAAGGAGCAATTGGGATGTGAACTTTTGCAGGAAGCAATTTTATTCGTTCTGTTTGGTTCAAGCTTGGAGAAGTTCTGTTGGACTCTGTGCTAAGTTTGGCCTTGCGGAACTAATTGGCAATTAGGCCTGTGGCAGCGTTTCAAGGGAGATAAAGGTGGGCGTTTATCAACATTCCCCTGAAAGACCGTGGCAATTCGAGCAGACCTCTGTCGGAATCTTCACGGGCTGTTTGGGAAGCCTTGAGGGCTGTGAATGACCATAATTCACAGCCGTATAAATAAAAGAAGGTTTTTGGGACTAAGATTGCGATTTAGGCTTTCTCAGGGAGCCTAGGTCACACACAAGGGGGGTCTACGATCACCCTCCCCTAATAAAGGTTCTAGGTGTGGAGTCGCCGTCAGACCCAGCCAGGAGGATTTAACAGTGACAGAGTTGGAAGGGACCTTGGAAGTCATCTAGTCCAACCCCCTGCTCACGCAGGAGAGCTGTATCAGGGATTCAAACCGCCGAGCTGCCGACCTTTCTGATTGACGAGCTCAGCGTCTTAGCCACTGAGCCGCCTAGCCAGGCAAAAGCAGCTTTGTTTCTTTAAAAATGATGTCCAGCACCAGAGAGATAATTCCTCTTTGCGGGATGCACCGAGCTTGATGGACACGATGGAGCTTGATGGACATGATGGAGCTAATCGATCCCTTCTTGGGAAGTCCGCAAAGCTGGGAAAGGGGAAGGAAAGAGAGGAAGAGGATGAGCAAGAGCAAGGAGGGCGGGGTTACTACCAGGGGCCAGGGGTGGGGAGGGGTACCGGTGCAAGGCCTAAGATGAGGACAGGAAATCTCCCTGTGGCTGCTAAAAGCTGACACCGTCAAGAATAAATCAATGCTGAGAGCCGCCTTTCTCATCAAGGCTCGAATCATGGGAGAGACAAGACAGAAGAGAGAATAAGGAGGAGAGGAGGAGAGAGAAGACAGGAGGAAATATAAAATAAGAAGAAAAGAGAGAAGAGAAAAGGTGGAAATATCAAATAAGAAGGAAGGAGGGGAGGTGGAGAGGAGAAGAGAAGAGATAAGAAGATAGAAGGAAGTAAAAATAAGAAGGGATAGGGAGGGGGAGAAGATAGAAGGGAAATATAAAATAAGAAGAGAGAAAAGGGGAAGATGGAAATATCAAATAAGAAGGAAGGAGGAGAGGCGGAGAGGAGAAGAGAGAAGAAGACAGAAGGAAATATCAAAATAGAAGGGAAGAGAAGAGAGGAGAGAAGATAGAAGGAAATATAAAATAAGAAGAAAGAGAAGAGAGAGGAAGATAGAAGGGAATATAAGAAGGAAGGAGGAGAGGAGAGAGAAGATAGAAGGAAATATAAAATAAGAAGAAAAGAGGAGAAGAGGAAGGAAATATCAAATAAGGAAGGAGGAGAGGAGGAGAGAGGAGAAGAGGGGAAGGGAGAGGATGAGCAGGAGCAAGGGAGATAAATTTAACAATTGAGGTAGTGCTCAATTTTCCAACTTGCCTTCCATTGAGGACCTGGACACTGCATGAGTCAAAAAGAGGGCTGTGAAAATACTTACAGCATCATTTTTTTCAACTCCTACCCTCAAAACGAGGCTATAGGGCACTGCACACCAGAACAACTAGACACAAGGACAGTTTTTCCCCAAACGCCATCACTCTGCTAAACAAAGAATTCCCTCAACACTGTCAAACCATTCACTAAGGCTGCCTTACTATTACTATTCGTCTTCCCATCATTCCTATCCCCCATCTCCTCCCACTTATGATGCAGGACTGTCACTTTGTGGCTTGTATCCTTACGATTTATATGGATATTGATTGTTTCCTGATTGCTTATTTGTACCTTATGACTATCATTGTTGTCCCTTATGATTCTTGAGGAATGTATCTTGTCTTTTTATGCACACTGAGAGAATCTGCACCAAAGACAAATTCCTTGTGTGTCCAATCACACTTGGCTAATAAAGAATTTCTATTCCGTTCTATTCCATTCTATGTCCTGTCCTGTCTTGTCTTGTCCTATCCTGTTCCGTTTTATTCTGTTCCTTATTTCTATTCTATTCTATTCAGAATTCTCTTATTCTATTCTATTCTATTCTTTTATTCTATTCTTTAATTCTATTCTATTCTTTATTTCTATTCTATTCTTTATTTCTATTCTATTCTTTATTTCTATTCTATTCTTTATTTCTATTCTATTCTTTTATTCTATTCTATTCTTTTATTCTATTCTTTATTTCTATTCTATTCTTATTTAGAATTCTCTTATTCTATTCTATTCAGAATTATCTTTTTCTATTCTATTCTATTCTCTATTTCTATTCTATTCCATCCCATCCCACCCTCTCCTATTCTTATGATTCTTGACGAATGTATCTTGTCTTTTTTATGCACACTGAGAGAATCTGCACCAAAGACAAATTCCTTGTGTGTCCAATCACAATTGGCCAATAAAGAATTCTGTTCCGTTCTGTTCCATTCCACTCTATCCTATCCTATTCCTGTTCATGGCTGGTTGCTAATGGCTTATGGCAGGACTAGAACTCACTATCTCCTGGTGATTGGTGCAAAGTCACCCAGATGGCTTTCAGGTTCAAAGCAGAACCCCCATTGTCTTC